CCGCCACCTGTTCCCTGTCCCCCTCAGGTGTCTCTCACACCAAAACCTGTCCCTGCCACCATCACCTGTGCACCCCTCACCTGTCCCTGTCCCACTCCACCCCAATCTGTGTCACCTCATCCCGCCATGCTGTGAGGAATGACATGTCCCTCCCAGGTGACAGGTGACAGGTGACAGCAGCCTGGCTGTCCCCTCCCCAGATCCCCAGATCCCCCCTCACCTCCTCCACCTCGTCGATGCGGATGGAATAGTTCTTCACGAACTCGTAGATGTCATCCATGAGCCCCAGGGGCAGGTCCTGGGACAGGTGGGACATGGGGGACAGGTGGGACACGGGGGATTGGTGGGATTGGGACCAGGTGGGATTGATGGGATTGGGACAGGTGGGACACGGGGGATTGGTGGGATTGGTGGGATTGGGACAGGTGGGATCCAAAGGACAGGTGGGACTGGCGGCACACACAGGACAGGTGGCAGCTCAGGTGGCACCAGGGATGTGGGCAGGGGGTTCACAGTGAGCAGGCCCAGTGGGGGTCCCAGGGACTGGGGGATCCCAGGGGAATGGGGTGCCACGGATGGGGGCAGCACAGGAGTGGGGTCCCAAGGGAATGGGGATCCCAGGGAAATAATGGGGTTCCCATGGGAATGGGGATCCCAGAAATGGGGTTCCCATGGGAATGGGGTTCCAATGGAAGGGGTTCCTGCAGGAATGGGGTTTCCAGGGATGGTGACATTGGGGACAGGTGGGACACGGGGGATTGGTGGGATTGGTGGGATTGGGACAGGTGGGATCCAAAGGACAGGTGGGACTGGAGGCACACACAGGACAGGTGGCAGCTCAGGTGGCACCAGGGATGTGGGCAGGGGGTTCACAGTGAGCAGGCCCAGTGGGGGTCCCAGGGACTGGGGGATCCCAGGGGAATGGGGTGCCACGGATGGGGGCAGCACAGGAGTGGGGTCCCAAGGGAATGGGGATCCCAGGGAAATAATGGGGTTCCCATGGGAATGGGGATCCCAGAAATGGGGTTCCCATGGGAATGGGGTTCCAATGGAAGGGGTTCCTGCAGGAATGGGGTTTCCAAGAATGGGGTGCCCGTGGGAATGGGGATCCCAGCAATGGGGTGCCCATGGGAATGGGGTGCCCAAGGAAATGGGGATCCCAGGAATGGGGTTCCCACTGAAAGGGGTGCCCATGGAAGGGGAGCAGGCCCAGCCCCTCACCTGGTGCACGCCCCCGGGCCGCACGTAGGCCGCGTGCATCCGCGCCCCCGACACGCGCTCGTAGAACTCGAACATCTGGGGGGGGACAGAGGGGACCCCGCTGCTGCTCAGCCCCCCAGGCACCTCCACACCCCCAAACCGCACCCCCCGAACCCCAAATCCCCCAAAGCCACCTTCTCCCTCTCCTCAAACATCCAGAACAGTGGGGTCATGGCCCCGATGTCCAGCGCGTGCGTGGTCACCGCCATGATGTGGTTCAGCAGCCGCGTGATCTCGGCGAAGAGAACTGAAAAAACGGGGGGGGAAAGGGGGAAAAAAGGGGGTGATCCCATAAATCCTGGGGGGTCCAGGGAGCTGGGAATGCTGGTGGGAGCCTCACCTCGGATCCACTGAGCCCGGGGAGGGGGCCGGATGTTGAGGAGCTTCTCCACGGCCAGGGCGTAGGCCTGCTCGTTGCACATCATGGACACGTAGTCCAGGCGGTCAAAGTAGGGCAGGGCCTGCGGGAACCCCGGTACTGGGAATACTGGGAGCACTGGGAGGGCTCGGAGTACTGGGAGCAGTGGAGTACTGGGGATACTGGGAATGCTGGGAATGCTTGAGTATTGAGAGTGCTGGGAGTGTTTGAGTACTGGGAGTGCTGGGAGAACTGAGAGCAACAGAGCACTAGGAGAACTGGGAATACTGGGAATACTGGGAGTAATAGGAGTAGTGGCAATAGTGGAGATAGTGGGAGTACCAGGAATACTGGGAGTGCTGGGATCTCATGGAACTGGGGATCTCAGGATCACCTGCAGGTAGGTCTGGTACTCCATGAGTTCCTCGGTGTTGTGGTGTGGGGGTCACAGGGCAATGGGGATCCCATGGGAAGGGGGGTTTCAGGGAATGGGACCTCAGGGATCCCAGCGACAGGGATCCCATGGAACTGGGGATCTCAGGGAGGGGTATCCCATGGAATTGGGGCTCCCAGGATCACCTGCAGGTAGGTCTTGTACTCGATGAGCTTCTCGGTGCCACGGTGCAGCAGCCCCACGTGGGGGGGACAGGGACATGGGGACCCCAGGGAAAGGGGGGTTTCATGGACAGGGATCCCATGGAATTGGGGATCCCGGGATCACCTGCAGGTAGGTCTTGTACTCGATGAGCTTCTCGGTGCCACGGTGCAGCAGCCCCACGTGGGGGGGACAGGGACATGGGGACCCCAGGGAAATGGGGGTTTCATGGACAGGGATCCCATGGAATTGGGGATCCCATGGATCCCAGGGTCACCTGCAGGTAGGTCTTGTACTCGATGAGCTTCTCGGTGCCACGGTGCAGCAGCCCCACGTGGGGGGGACAGGGACATGGGGACCCCAGGGAAAGGGGGGTTTCATGGACAGGGATCCCATGAAATTGGGGATCCCATGGATCCCAGGGTCACCTGCAGGTAGGTCTTGTACTCGATGAGCTTCTCGGTGCCACGGTGCAGCAGCCCCACGTGGGGGTCGCAGCGCTTCACCGTCTCCCCGCTCAGCTCCAGCACCAGCCGCAGGACGCCGTGCGCCGCCGGGTGCTGCGGCCCGAAGTTGATGGTCAGGCTGGAAACCTTCTTCTGGGCCACGGGGTCCTTGTCTGGGGAGGGGGGGGACAGTGCCAGGGCTCAGGGACACGATGGGGGGGACAGCAGGGATCAGGGACACAGGGGGAGACACGGGGACTGAACCCTGAGAGGGGTCGGGGACTGGGGGACAGACCCCCAGGAGGGCTTGGGGACATGGGGACAGCTCCCTGAGAGGGGTCAGGGACACAGGGACAGACCCCTGAGAGGGCTCAGGGACATGGGGACAGCCTCCCAGGGAGGGCACAGAACCCCCCAAATGTTGGGGACAGGGAGGGAGCAGCACCTGCTGAGGGCTTGTGGTGATCCTGAGTGACCCCAAAGTGCCCTGAGTGACCCCAGAGTGTTCTGAATGACCCTAACACAGACCTAGGTGACCCCCAAAGTGACCTGAGTGACCTCCAGACCACCACACTACCCCCAAAAGTCCTCCTTAAGCCCCACTTGGGGTCTCAGGACCCCTCCAGGACCACCCTAAAGCCCCTGAGACCTCTCCTGGGCCCCCCAAAGGCCTCAGAGCATCCCTAGAGCCTCCCTAAAGCCCCTGAGACCCCTCCTGGGCCCCCCTAAAGGCCTCAGAGCATCCCTAGAGCCTCCCTAAAGCCTCTGAGACCTCTCCTGGGCCCCCCAAAGGCCTCAGAGCATCCCTAGAGCCTCCCTAAAGCCCCTGAGACCCCTCCTGGGCCCCCCTAAAGGCCTCAGAGCATCCCTAGAGCCTCCCTAAAGCCTCTGAGACCCCTCCTGGGCCCCCCAAAGGCCTCAGAGCATCCCTAGAGCCTCCCTAAAGGCCCTGAGACCCCTCCTGGGCCCCCCTAAAGGCCTCAGAGCATCCCTAGAGCCTCCCTAAAGGCCCTGAGACCCCTCCTGGGCCCCCCTAAAGGCCTCAGAGCATCCCTAGAGCCCCCCTAAAGCCCCTGAGACCCCTCCTGGGCCCCCCCAAAGGCCTCAGAGCACCCCCCAAAGGCCTTGTCCTCCCTGCTCAGAGCCCCCCAAAGCCCTCAGGGCCCCCCAGAGCCCCTTCCCCCCTTTCTCCCAGAGGCTCCCCGCTGTCCCCTCACCGTTCCAGGGTGGCGGCACCCACTTCTCGGTGGCCTTGCTCGGGTACATGATGGCCCCGGCGTACTGCTGCGCCCACTCCATGTCGGGCTGCCACTGGCGGGACCTGCGGGCCCGGACGGTGAGCGGGGACGGCCCCACATCCTCCCCGCAGCCCTCCCCGCCGTGTTCCCGTGTCCCCCGCAGGCTCACCGGGCCGGGGCCGGGCCCAGCCGAGCCCCCGCCGCGCTCAGCCCCGAGGGGCCGCGGAGCCGCCACAGCGCCCGCAGCGCCGCCATCGTGCCCTTGGCGCTGCGCATGCGCGGGGGGCGCCATGGAGGGGAAGGGCAGACGCTGGGGGCGCCGCCATGTTGGGTACGGGCAGATCCCTCGCTATTAGCCTGCGCGCGTTGCGCTTGCGCAAGGCGCCATTGTGCTGGCGGGCAGCGCGCCGCCATGTTGGTGTGGGGGGGCTGCGCCGCCATTGTGACCTTGGCGCTGCGCAGGGGCGGAGGGCGCCGTGGGGGGGAAAGGCAGGCGCAGTGAGCGGCTCTTTGGTGGGCGTGGGCAGGTGTGCCGCCATCGTGTGTTTGGAGCAGGAACGCCGTGGCTGGGAAGGGCAAGGGCAACTGTGAGCGCCGCCATGACGGGTGTGGGCAGACAGGGTGCGCATGCGTACAAACGCCGCCGCTGGAAAAGGACACACACGTGGCGCGGACACGCCCCCACCAAACCCGCGCCCAATCACAGCGCGTCGTCTTCGTGACGTCACCGAAGAAGCGGAAAAATTATAGGAAGGGGCGGGGCAAGAAGCGGTTGCCACGGAGACGGCGGCCAGTAAGACCACGCCCCTCAGGGCGGAGCTGACACGGACCACGCCTTCTCGGTTTCTCCCGGGTCGTTGCGAGCTCCGCGCCCCGCCCCGGGGCCACCGAGCGCCACCGGAGCCCCCCCGGGACCCCCCCGGTTCTCCCCGGCCGCCCCCGCCCGCCCGGA